GGAGGGTGAGGTTTTCGTAGAAAATCACGTCACGTGCTGCCACTGTTTATTTTGTCTCGATGTCGAAAATCTTCCATGTGTTGTAATGTTTTTCGATGCCCAGGTGTAGTCCCCATTGTGCGCGTTGGGAGAATCGGCCGGCTCGTGCAGATGGGGGTCGGTACTGTACCATGCAGCCAAAAACTCTTAACATGTTTGTGCTGCCCAGTTTTCCTGTCCACAGCAGATGCGGTGATGCGTTGTTCGGGAGCGATGATGACGAGAGCAAGTTGTGCAGCATGACGGCGTGGTCCATTGCTTCGGGCCACTGGTGGTTGGGCAGATGCATGCCACGCAGCAGCTTGCGCATGGTGTTCTGGAGGGTCCTGTTCATCCTTTCTGCTACGCCTTGCTGTTGATGGGCGTAGGGAAGGGAGATGAGTCGCTTGATTCCCCTCTCTGCCAGGTATTCTCTGTGACGAGTATTCTCCTCCTCCGTCTGACTGGAAGCTTTTCAGCTTCACTCCTGATTCTCGTTCTGCTACTGGAAGCCATGCTACGAAGGCTTCGAAGGCCATGTCGCGGCTCGGAAGATTTAGATGCCAGACGTATCGCGTGGCAGCATCGATGAAGGTGGTGGTGTAATTGTACGCGTTTTGTCCGGGCTCGCGGTTGTACAGGATGTCGCTGTACACCTTCTCGAGTGGCGTGTAAGCTGGTGCACTTGGGTTGTGGTGAGACATGAACGGTTGGTGTGGTAAGTCAGCTTCGGGACAAGTGAAGCATGTTCCACGGGCTCGTTGAAGTTCTCTGCCGTCTGTTAGGAGTAGAGAATCTTTGTCGAGCACTCCTGCTCTTATCGTGTTGTTTAACACCGTGTTACTTGGATGTCCCATCCTTGCGTGCCAGATGCTTTCGCTGGCGCGGTGTCCGGGTGACCGTCGGTACATGTTGGAGTTGGAGTAAAAGCCGGCGGTTACGTTGGCGCTTCGGTGGACTTCTCGTGGTGCCGGTTTGAGCTGCTGTGCGGGTGTCGGTGGCGTGTCATCGATTAGGAGTGGTGCCGTTGAGGGACCAGCGACCGGTGTCGATGTTGCCGCTACTGCCGTTGTTGTCTCTGCTGTTGCCGATGTTGTCTCTGCTGCTGCCGATGTTGTCTCTGCTGCTGCCGATGTTGTCTCTGCTGCTGCCAATAAAGACTATCACGAAGGCGTCTTCAGATATCGTCCCTCCGCATCGAAGAAGCTTGTCGCTCAACTCACGACATCGGCTGATATACGCCATTCCCTTCTCGCCTGGTTTCATTTCGACTGTAGTCAGTTGCGCCATTAATCGACTCTGGTTTACGATGTCTGTTGCTTGATACAGGTTCTTCAAGTGGTTGTATGCGAGCTCGGCGGAGTTGCCGTATCCCCGGTAAGACCGTATATTCTGCTGCTGAGTCGGTGTGATGTTCCTCAGTAGTATTGTGTACGCCATCATTGACTGATAGGTGTACTGCTGCTTCTCATACTGTGTGCCGTTTGTTGGGTATGGCAGGGATCCGTCGAAGAAGCCGAGTATCTGCGCGCCTTCCATCATCAACTCGAATTCGAACGACCAGGTGAAGAAGTCCTTTCCGTCGAAAGGTCTTGATGTCTGCAGTTTTAAGACGTGCGCGAATTGCGACTGAACTTGCAGCGCGTCCAGTGGCTTTTCTTGTCCAGGTGAAGGCTGCGGGTGCGGCATGAAGCTGATGGACCCGCGCTCGTACGGAGCAAAGGTAGGTTGCTGCTGTTGATTTCCTCGTGCGTACGATGAGCCGTCAAGACTCATAGGAGTAACTTCGTTGTTGTTGCTGTTGTATGACTGTGCAGGTCCCGATTGCTGGTGCTGCTCGTAGAAGGACATGAAGGAGAAGAATTTCTCCATCATGCTCTGGTCGAAGCTGGCAGGTTGACTTGCGGGAGTCTCAGTAGACGTTGCCCTAGGTCGAACTGCCGTGCCCTCCTCTGTCTGTAGGCCAGAGGCAGGAGGTGGAGTAGGAGTAGTGCCCTGGGAGCCGTTAGAGGAGCTCCTTTCCTTTTGTGTTGCCATGTCTTGTGATGACTTGGTAGTAGTCGAGTTCCCCTTGTGAGCTCTCATACCATGTTGGGCTGAGAAGTAGCCCTTAGGATCTTTGCAAGGGTAAACTCTGGGTAGGAATAATGTAATAGCGGAAGCGTTAACTGAGAGATTGAACCACCTTGCGTTGGTATGTGAGGGCAAAGTAGATTGATTAAAGCAAAGAGATACAAGATTATATATGAATACAAGGAATATGAAAGGATACAGTTATAACTACTTTACTGTTGCTGTTGCGGTTCGATACAGTAACGACTCGGGCAACCGCTCTGTAACGAGTCAGTTGTGTGTCCTTGCTGTCGCACTGTACTTGTCAGGTCAAAGGTCGCTGACCTTTGACTTTCGCGTAACCTCCAGCAGTTGCTTTCAACCTCCGAGGGTTGGCTCGCTAGTGCTTCGGTATGCTTCGCTTCGCTTGTGCCTTAGTGTTTCGACACGACAGAGGCGCTTAGAATTAATTGTTTCCAACACAGGTGACTTGGCATTTTGATGTATATGCACAGCAATGAAAGCATTAATGCTTGCATGCATCCTAAGTAGTACCGCAGTTACATGCACCCAACACAAATGCCATAACAAACCACAAACCTGAAGCTCGAACCAAGAACCAACCACGTATCACAAAATGGCCATGCTCGATGCATCTTTGGATGTGAGCACATGGTATATCCTGTGTGACATTACAGGTCCCATACGCTCCACTCGCCTCATCCCCGCAGCAGCACCACCACCTTGACTCCCTCTCACTGTCACAGCAGCATCATCAGCAGCGGCATTGTTACCGGGATCATCATCACACGTGTCATCACCACCAGTGCTGGTGGTTGTGGTGTCGCTTCCCAGCTGTATTTTGACCATCTTGGAAAGCAAAAGCTGCTTGTCCCTCTCCTGTGAGTAGCACGGGAGGAGGAGACATGGTCAGATCAGAGCCACAAGCAGTGGGGAAGTAGTGACGGGCATGACTTGAGTTGCCTTGAATCAAGGAGCACACTCATCTTGCCAAAGGAGGCATGGGCAGTAGGAGAAGAACAGCGAATGCATGAAGGCGAGGTTACTTGCAGGTGAGTTTTAATTGACTCGAAAGCAAAGAGCCCACTCATTTGTGGGCTCAACTCACAGGGAGGTTGGAGCGGTAGACAGAGAGCAGCGAGTGCATGGAGGGATACATGCGGGTGATGCTCATGGCGTCTCGGGCTGACACCCCTGGGATCGCTATCAGCATGCTCGCCCTGTGAAAAAAAGGTGGAGAGGGGGGAAGGGAGCACGTGGGTAAACGGAGACAATTTTTGAGGCGCCTAGAGATACACAGGTGATGCTCATGGCGTCTCTCGCTGACACCCCTGGGATGGCCATAAGCATGCTCGCTCTGGGAGAGGCAGGTGGAAGGGGGAGCAGAGAAGAGATCATTCCTTAAGGTTTAGGGTGAGGCACCTACACAACAACGTCTCTGCATGAAACTGAAGAGTAGGCCATTAACATGCTTGTCCTATGGCAGGGAAGGATGGGGAACGGTTCTTGGGGCGATTCAGCGATCGTGTCTGGCTGAAGCCGCTAGGATGACCATTGTCATGTTCTTCCTCTGGCAGAGTTAATACAAGGCGTGCTACGCACACACAGTGCGTATGGGAGAAGGCGGCTTTGAACATGGCTGGCCACAGATAGGGCACAGATGGGGCACAGTGGGGTACAGATGGGACATAGGAGGCAAAGGAGAAGGTTCAGACAGATCGAGTGGTTGTGCAAAGGGCTGGAATATCCGGGAGAGTGGCTGAGAAGAGCACTGTTTTCTTCCCTTCCTTCCCTTCCCTCCCCGCCTGCCCCTCCCTCCTTGTTTGGCCACCACGCCCCTTCTCTATGCCCTTCCCGCCATGCCCTTCCCACCCAGCCCCTCCCCCCATGGTCCTCCCTCCCTCCCCCTCCTGCCCTGCCCGCGCACCATGTGTTTCGGCGGGCGGCATGAAAGAAGGGATCCTTGGGGTTGGCAGAGCCGCAGTTCTGCACTATGTGCAGGCGGCTGAGCGCAGGCCTGATGGGGACGAACAGTGAGGGGACGAGGATGGAGGGTAGCAGGGGGAGGGTGCAAAAAGTTAGTCCATGGGGTGAGCAGGTGGGGGAGCGCGTGAGGGGTCCTTGTGGTTGGTCGCCCCACTGTTCTGCACCATGTGCAGGCGGCTAAGAGCAGGCCTGAGGGGGAGGAACAGGGTGGGGTGGAAGGGGAAGTGGGTGGAGGAGGGGTGCATGTGATCACGGAGGGGTAAGGGGGTGTGTAGAGACTGAGAAAATGAGAGCAGCGTTTGAAGGAGAGCAACAGGGGCATGTGAGCCGATGCATGGATGAGGGTAGTATAGGGAAAAGGGAAAAGTCATCTGCCTGCCCGCACCCCACCTGCCCACACCACACCTGATCGCATCCCACCTGATCGCCCCGCACCTGTACATCTTCTCGGCGTGTGCTCGGTGCATGGCGGCCACGTGCTCTGCCATGACCCACTCGTCGCTGCACACACGCACACCCACACGTGCAAAGTGCGTTGCTAGCCGCGCCAACGCCTGGAGAGGCATGGGGGAGGTTAGAGGGGGGGGGAGAAGAGGGGGGGGTTGGGAGACGAGATAAGGCATGGGGGAGGGGCGGAGAGGGCGGGTTATGGGTGAAAAGCAGGTTGGAGGGTAGGTAGAAGGAGATTTAGTCTGCTTTTGAGTCGACTCAAAAGCAGGTTGGAGGGTAGGTAGAAGGAGATTTAGTCTGCTTTTGAGTCGACTCAAAAGCAGGTTGGAGGGCGAAATAAGGAGATCGAGCAGGGCAGAGGACCAGAGGTGGCGGCAAGGTTGGCTGGCAAGCAAAGGAGATGCGAGGCAAGGCAAGGAAGTGGGGAGAAGAGACAAGGGAACACTGAGAAAAGACACAAAAGCACCCCCCACTCAAGCAGCTCTCTCCCCCCATCCATGCACCTCTCTCCCTCCACCAATCCACCTCCCTCTTTCCCCCAACCCATGCACCTCTCTATCCTCACTTGCTCCACAGCAGGTTCCTTCCATGTCTCCTTGCCTCTCTGAGCGCGCTGCTCCCTCTGCCTCAGGTACCGCCCCAGCCCACACACGAGCAGCACCACCCTCCCCTCGCTCCTCCCTTCCTTTGCCGCCTCTCCGGTTCCATTTGGGTCCCGCTGCTGCTGCTGTTGTTGCTGTTGCTGGGAATGATGCTGGGGTTGCTGGTGGTGGTGGCGGCGCTGCTGCTGCTGCTGCTGGTGCTGGTGCTGCTGTTGGTGATGTTGGTGGTGATTCTGTTGCTGCTGTTGCTGCTGCTGCTGCAGCTGCTGCCGTTGGCGGCGTGGGCAGGTACTGCTGTTGGTCCAGGGCGTGCAGTAAAGGCGAGATCACGTGGGCCTCCCACCAGGGCACGCCTCTCTGTAGCAAATCCACCAGGCACTCCCCGCCCATCACCACCACCATGCCTGCCGCCCACTGCTGCCGTATGCACAGCTGCACTTGACACAGGCGTGGGGAGAGAGGGGACGGAGTGAGCGAAGTAGAGAGATGAAGGGACAATCGTGGGGCACGACATGAGGATGACGTGCGGTGGCACAGAGTGAAGGAAGCCAGAACCAGAAAGAACCAGAAAGAACCTGAAAGAACCTGAAAGAACCTGAAAGAACCAGAAAGAACCAGAAAGAACCAGAAAGAACCTGAAAGAACCAGAAAGAACCAGAAAGAACCAGAAAGAACCAGAAAGAACCTGAAAGAACCTGAAAGAACCTGAAAGAACCAGAAAGAACCAGAAAGAACCAGAAAGAACCTGAAAGAACCTGAAAGAACCTGAAAGAACCTGAAAGAACCTGAAAGAACCTGAAAGAACCAGAAAGAACCTGAAAGAACCTGAAAGAACCAGAAAGAACCAGAAAGAACCAGAAAGAACCAGAAAGAACCTGAAAGAACCAGAAAGAACCAGAAAGAACCAGAAAGAACCAGAAAGAACCAGAAAGAACCAGAAAGAACCAGAAAGAACCAGAAAGAACCTGAAAGAACCAGAAAGAACCAGAAAGAACCAGAAAGAACCAGAAAGAACCAGAAAGAACCTGAAAGAACCTGAAAGAACCAGAAAGAACCAGAAAGAACCAGAAAGAACCAGAAAGAACCAGAAAGAACCTGAAAGAACCAGAAAGAACCAGAAAGAACCAGAAAGAACCTGAAAGAACCTGAAAGAACCAGAAAGAACCTGAAAGAACCTGAAAGAACCTGAAAGAACCTGAAAGAACCAGAAAGAACCTGAAAGAACCTGAAAGAACCTGAAAGAACCTGAAAGAACCAGAAAGAACCTGAAAGAACCTGAAAGAACCAGAAAGAACCAGAAAGAACCTGAAAGAACCAGAAAGAACCAGAAAGAACCAGAAAGAACCAGAAAGAACCAGAAAGAACCAGAAAGAACCAGAAAGAACCAGAAAGAACCAGAAAGAACCAGAAAGAACCAGAAAGAACCTGAAAGAACCTGAAAGAACCTGAAAGAACCTGAAAGAACCTGAAAGAACCTGAAAGAACCTGAAAGAACCAGAAAGAACCAGAAAGAACCTGAAAGAACCTGAAAGAACCAGAAAGAACCAGAAAGAACCAGAAAGAACCAGAAAGAACCAGAAAGAACCTGAAAGAACCTGAAAGAACCTGAAAGAACCTGAAAGAACCAGAAAGAACCTGAAAGAACCAGAAAGAACCAGAAAGAACCTGAAAGAACCAGAAAGAACCTGAAAGAACCTGAAAGAACCTGAAAGAACCAGAAAGAACCAGAAAGAACCAGAAAGAACCAGAAAGAACCTGAAAGAACCTGAAAGAACCTGAAAGAACCAGAAAGAACCTGAAAGAACCAGAAAGAACCAGAAAGAACCTGAAAGAACCAGAAAGAACCTGAAAGAACCAGAAAGAACCTGAAAGAACCAGAAAGAACCTGAAAGAACCTGAAAGAACCTGAAAGAACCTGAAAGAACCAGAAAGAACCAGAAAGAACCTGAAAGAACCTGAAAGAACCAGAAAGAACCAGAAAGAACCAGAAAGAACCAGAAAGAACCTGAAAGAACCTGAAAGAACCTGAAAGAACCAGAAAGAACCTGAAAGAACCTGAAAGAACCTGAAAGAACCAGAAAGAACCTGAAAGAACCTGAAAGAACCTGAAAGAACCTGAAAGAACCAGAAAGAACCAGAAAGAACCAGAAAGAACCAGAAAGAACCTGAAAGAACCAGAAAGAACCTGAAAGAACCAGAAAGAACCAGAAAGAACCAGAAAGAACCAGAAAGAACCTGAAAGAACCAGAAAGAACCAGAAAGAACCAGAAAGAACCTGAAAGAACCTGAAAGAACCTGAAAGAACCAGAAAGAACCAGAAAGAACCTGAAAGAACCAGAAAGAACCAGAAAGAACCAGAAAGAACCAGAAAGAACCTGAAAGAACCTGAAAGAACCTGAAAGAACCAGAAAGAACCTGAAAGAACCTGAAAGAACCTGAAAGAACCTGAAAGAACCAGAAAGAACCTGAAAGAACCAGAAAGAACCTGAAAGAACCAGAAAGAACCAGAAAGAACCTGAAAGAACCAGAAAGAACCTGAAAGAACCAGAAAGAACCTGAAAGAACCAGAAAGAACCTGAAAGAACCAGAAAGAACCTGAAAGAACCAGAAAGAACCAGAAAGAACCAGAAAGAACCAGAAAGAACCAGAAAGAACCAGAAAGAACCAGAAAGAACCAGAAAGAACCTGAAAGAACCAGAAAGAACCAGAAAGAACCAGAAAGAACCTGAAAGAACCTGAAAGAACCAGAAAGAACCAGAAAGAACCAGAAAGAACCTGAAAGAACCAGAAAGAACCAGAAAGAACCAGAAAGAACCAGAAAGAACCTGAAAGAACCAGAAAGAACCTGAAAGAACCTGAAAGAACCAGAAAGAACCTGAAAGAACCAGAAAGAACCAGAAAGAACCTGAAAGAACCTGAAAGAACCTGAAAGAACCAGAAAGAACCAGAAAGAACCAGAAAGAACCAGAAAGAACCAGAAAGAACCAGAAAGAACCAGAAAGAACCAGAAAGAACCTGAAAGAACCAGAAAGAACCAGAAAGAACCAGAAAGAACCTGAAAGAACCTGAAAGAACCAGAAAGAACCAGAAAGAACCAGAAAGAACCTGAAAGAACCAGAAAGAACCAGAAAGAACCAGAAAGAACCAGAAAGAACCTGAAAGAACCAGAAAGAACCTGAAAGAACCTGAAAGAACCAGAAAGAACCTGAAAGAACCTGAAAGAACCAGAAAGAACCTGAAAGAACCTGAAAGAACCTGAAAGAACCAGAAAGAACCAGAAAGAACCTGAAAGAACCAGAAAGAACCTGAAAGAACCTGAAAGAACCAGAAAGAACCTGAAAGAACCTGAAAGAACCAGAAAGAACCAGAAAGAACCAGAAAGAACCTGAAAGAACCTGAAAGAACCAGAAAGAACCAGAAAGAACCAGAAAGAACCAGAAAGAACCAGAAAGAACCAGAAAGAACCAGAAAGAACCTGAAAGAACCTGAAAGAACCTGAAAGAACCAGAAAGAACCAGAAAGAACCAGAAAGAACCAGAAAGAACCTGAAAGAACCTGAAAGAACCTGAAAGAACCAGAAAGAACCAGAAAGAACCAGAAAGAACCAGAAAGAACCTGAAAGAACCTGAAAGAACCAGAAAGAACCAGAAAGAACCAGAAAGAACCTGAAAGAACCTGAAAGAACCAGAAAGAACCTGAAAGAACCTGAAAGAACCTGAAAGAACCTGAAAGAACCTGAAAGAACCAGAAAGAACCTGAAAGAACCTGAAAGAACCTGAAAGAACCTGAAAGAACCTGAAAGAACCTGAAAGAACCTGAAAGAACCAGAAAGAACCTGAAAGAACCTGAAAGAACCAGAAAGAACCAGAAAGAACCAGAAAGAACCAGAAAGAACCAGAAAGAACCAGAAAGAACCAGAAAGAACCAGAAAGAACCAGAAAGAACCAGAAAGAACCAGAAAGAACCAGAAAGAACCAGAAAGAACCTGAAAGAACCAGAAAGAACCTGAAAGAACCTGAAAGAACCAGAAAGAACCTGAAAGAACCTGAAAGAACCAGAAAGAACCAGAAAGAACCAGAAAGAACCTGAAAGAACCTGAAAGAACCTGAAAGAACCTGAAAGAACCAGAAAGAACCAGAAAGAACCTGAAAGAACCAGAAAGAACCTGAAAGAACCTGAAAGAACCAGAAAGAACCAGAAAGAACCAGAAAGAACCAGAAAGAACCTGAAAGAACCTGAAAGAACCTGAAAGAACCAGAAAGAACCAGAAAGAACCAGAAAGAACCTGAAAGAACCTGAAAGAACCTGAAAGAACCTGAAAGAACCTGAAAGAACCAGAAAGAACCAGAAAGAACCTGAAAGAACCTGAAAGAACCTGAAAGAACCTGAAAGAACCAGAAAGAACCTGAAAGAACCTGAAAGAACCAGAAAGAACCAGAAAGAACCAGAAAGAACCTGAAAGAACCAGAAAGAACCTGAAAGAACCAGAAAGAACCAGAAAGAACCAGAAAGAACCAGAAAGAACCAGAAAGAACCAGAAAGAACCTGAAAGAACCAGAAAGAACCTGAAAGAACCAGAAAGAACCAGAAAGAACCAGAAAGAACCAGAAAGAACCAGAAAGAACCTGAAAGAACCAGAAAGAACCTGAAAGAACCTGAAAGAACCTGAAAGAACCAGAAAGAACCAGAAAGAACCTGAAAGAACCTGAAAGAACCAGAAAGAACCTGAAAGAACCTGAAAGAACCAGAAAGAACCAGAAAGAACCAGAAAGAACCAGAAAGAACCTGAAAGAACCTGAAAGAACCTGAAAGAACCTGAAAGAACCAGAAAGAACCAGAAAGAACCAGAAAGAACCAGAAAGAACCTGAAAGAACCTGAAAGAACCTGAAAGAACCTGAAAGAACCTGAAAGAACCTGAAAGAACCTGAAAGAACCTGAAAGAACCTGAAAGAACCAGAAAGAACCTGAAAGAACCTGAAAGAACCAGAAAGAACCTGAAAGAACCAGAAAGAACCAGAAAGAACCTGAAAGAACCAGAAAGAACCTGAAAGAACCAGAAAGAACCTGAAAGAACCAGAAAGAACCAGAAAGAACCAGAAAGAACCAGAAAGAACCTGAAAGAACCAGAAAGAACCTGAAAGAACCTGAAAGAACCAGAAAGAACCTGAAAGAACCTGAAAGAACCTGAAAGAACCTGAAAGAACCAGAAAGAACCTGAAAGAACCTGAAAGAACCAGAAAGAACCAGAAAGAACCAGAAAGAACCAGAAAGAACCAGAAAGAACCAGAAAGAACCAGAAAGAACCAGAAAGAACCTGAAAGAACCTGAAAGAACCAGAAAGAACCAGAAAGAACCTGAAAGAACCTGAAAGAACCTGAAAGAACCTGAAAGAACCTGAAAG